TGAATATAATAGATTATGATTTACAGGCACTATGATGGGAGGGCATGTATGGCCATACTTCAACAATTAATATAAAGGTCTTAGGCATGGGGACTTCTTAACACTCTTCTCTTTGACCTAGTAGTCGATGCCCTAGCCCTAATCATGGAAATGGCTAAGCAACATGGGATGGTGAAAGGGTGTTAGAAGAGACAATTGAGCAGGGTGTCTATATGATACAATATGTTGATGACACCATTTTTATAATGCGTGATGATAGAGTGCAAATAAACTAAAATTCATTTTGGGTGCTTTTGAGAAAATGTCAAGGCCGACCATTAACTTTCATAAGAGTGAGCTATTCCTTTTTGGGAAAGCAACGAGCAAGTCTGATTTTATCAAGAAATATTTACTTGTCAACTTGGTGTAATGTTTTTGAAATATCTATTCTAGTGATTCCCATTTCTAATGATAGAATCTGAACAAACGTGGGAAAAGAATGTAAAGAAAATCTTGCTACCAAGGCAAGTTGTTGAACATTGTTGGTAGGCTAATCCTTGTTCAAGCATGCCTAATTAGTATCACCTTCTGCATGATGTCTGTTTATCCCATGCATGTTGGAGTCTAGAAGAGGAGTAACTTTTTTATGGTTAGATTTGCTTGTTAAGGGGATGAGGTCAAAAATAAATACCACCTGGTACATTAGGGCAACATTTGTCAGCTAGAAGAACAAGGGGTTTTGGGTGTTCTTAATATGGATATCATGAATAGAGCCCTTGTAGCTAAGTGGTTTTGGAGATTAGACAATGAACAAGGATTGTGGCATCTGCCATCCCCAATAAGTATGTTAAGAATGCATGGTTGTCTTGGTGCCAAATGTAGACTTGGGGACTCTCATTTTGTTCTCGTCTCATGGTTGTGAAGAACATTTTCTACCAACACTACAAAAATAACTAGTCGGGAATGCGGGCAATACCAGGTTTTCGGAGGACTGGTGGATAGGTCCTTGCCCTCTGAAACTAAGCTACCCTAGTTTGCATTACATGTACTTTGATAACAATATTTCAATAGACGATGACTTCTCTATAGGTTTTGATAATATGAAGTTGAGAAAAACTCTGTGGGGAGGATTCTTTGGAGCTCTGAAATAACATTAAAGATCTTTGTGATGATGTTGTTCTTTTGGATAAAAAGGTTACTATGAGATGGATGCTCAATGTTGATGGTGTATTTATCATTAGATCTTTATACCAAAAAAATTCATTTCAAACTCTATGGCTTGCCAGAAATTTCTTGTGGCAGGTAAAGTTTTCATCTAAAATGAGGTTTTCCGCTGGCTAATAAAAAGGGCAGCCCAATGCAAGTAGCCCCCACTTGCGCAAGGTCCGGAGAAGGGTCCGACCACTTCGTCTAATGTTTAAGACAATATTTTGATCAGGAATAACCAATTCATAACGGTGGCAAGGGGTAAAATCTATGTATTTTGTGGACACAATGAAAGACTTGAGCATATGCTTTTCACATGTTATATGTTGCTAGGCTAGTGTGGAGTCTCCTCAAATGTGCATTCAATTTGATATCCATCCCTAGCAATTTACATGATTTGTTTCACACTTGGTTGAAATTATTTAGTAAGAATGATAAGTTCATGCATAGTGTGTTGTAGGGCAAAGCCCCAATTGTGCCCAATCTTCACAATTTGGAGATGAAAAAGAGAAGAAACACAAGAACTGAAGGGGACGCATGGGGTAAACTACTCAAAGAACAAGATCCACATCACACATGTGCTCTCCAAGCAAGATACACATAGATCCACAGTCAAAAATGAGGTAAGTAGATGGTTATTCTCAAACCCTAAGGTGAGCTGAGGTCTTGAGAGATAGATCTTCCCCAAATCTCTAGGAAAGATGGAGGCCTGTAATCCCTTGGATTCTTCTCCACTTGGAGGTCTTGATCTCCAGTGGAGAGGGTTGATGAGCAAAGCTCTCTCAAGATGTCTAATTATGCTTTGCTTAACCCTAGAGAGGAGGTAGTGGAGAGGTTATAGTCTAGAGAAAAATAGGGAGGGAGGGGAGGATACAAAGCCACTTGGCCCAAAGTGCATGTAGGTAGGGCCCGAACGCTTGGTTCCTGGCCGTAAGTCCAAGCTCAAGCTGGACTGTCACGATTCCAAGCCAAACATCCAGTGGATGAAGCCCGGTTGAGTCAGAGCTTTCATGTGGTGCGCTCCAGGGGTCAGGCGTCTGGGTAGCAGTCTGGACACCGGGGTTAACGACAAAGCTTCTGTAACCATGCACCCTTCATTCTTACTTCCTTGTCTTCTTGCTCCTCTTCTACCATGACTTGACATTGTTCCCCTGCTTCTTGATAGTTAATTCCTTGTTACCTGGATGATTGCATAGGGTCACCATTTGAGATAGTAGTCATGTCTCATATGAATGTAGAGGTAGTTCAAGGAGGAGCGAGTTCACCTCGGTTTTTATTGCACATGCACTTTCTCTCCTCATCGGTCCACTTGGTGTGTTGGTGTAGGCCCCTTGGTGATGTCCATGGGGGTGCTCCGCACCATAGTGGGTATGGTCTCTCTGTTATGGACAATATGGGTATATAGAAACATTGTGTGCTTTGAGGAAGAAAACATCAGGACCTTTTTGTGTTGCTTTCATTTGATTTGTCATTCGTTGACCTCCTGGACAATATGGCTAGAAGATCGCTTCGACGAAGGCTTGTTATTTTGTATTTGTTTTCCTACCACATGCATGTCCCTGATGACTATTTTTGGTCATTATAATGAAGTCATTGTCTATTTATTTTAATACGTTTATGTTCAATTGTGGGGTGTTTGTAGGTCTATATCCTGCGAGGTGGAGTATTCAAGCCTTCATTATCCCCATGTGGCTCCTATTTTTTTTACTTTTGTAATGTATGAACCATACGGTTTCTCTCAACAAAAATCGAAGATGGGTGCCTCCTTTTCGCTAGAAAAAAGCCAGATAAAAATACTCAAGATTTATTCACACAAGTCATAAATCCATTCTAAGAAAATGAAATTAAGGACTTGCTTCATCGACTAGTCTGTACTTTTCACTGGCTATTGTAAATAACTATTTAGAAACTTTTAAAAGTAAATGATTGTTTAATTAATCAACAAAGCTCCCTTTTCTTCTCTTTTGGGCAAATGCTCTTGCAGCTTATCTTTCGCCTCTCCTCCAAGTGAGCAGGCGGCTAGGGCTTCTGTCTCCCGTCGGCGCCGCTTGTTTTTCTATAGCCTTAGTGCCATGGTGGTGAGGTGGATCCTGGCAGTAGGAGGGCTCCGTTTTTACATGTCCTTGCATAACCTCCATTCTAGTGGTGCATCTAGCATCGTTGGAGGGCGTGTGGACGTGTACATCCGGTGGATCTCGTAAGATTCAATCGATGGTTGTCTTTAATGGACCTGATCTTTTTTCATCTATGTTAGTGTGTCTTCAAGTTGAATCCTTCTGGTCTATACTTTTCTTCATCGGCGGCGGTTGTTATTCTGTTGTGTTAGTCCTACAGGGCCTTAGCACGATGACTTTTCGGCTGTCTACTATAATAAGTTTTGCCTGACTCGAGGGATGGGTGATGACGGTGGTGTGACTTTGACTTGTTTCAGTG